TGTATTGCAAAGGGCAGGCAACTAACGTTTTTATGTGCCATTGTTATTATGCCTTGTTATTTTTCTCAAAAATATTTTATGTGTCTGTTTTTGTTACAAGTTTTTTTTTTAGAAGGGGGGGTGGGGGGGGGGGGTAATTTTATTACACTGTTCATTGCTGTTAGTCATTAAAAGGATTTCACTGGTATGGGAGCTGTCCCTACAACAACACAACAACAAAACTCAGATATGGCCATCAGAGGATAAGAGGCACCACACATAACCTCTTACTGGTAACACCTTCTCTTTAGACAGAGGGTAGAGGCAGAGTTAAGTTGTGCAGCAGTCTGACGGTAGACAAGGGGAAACCACAATTAAACATTCCTAGGACATTTGTTTTTAACAGCTCGCACAATTCTAGATAAGTAAAGTGCTAGAGGAACTTTTCTACACCAACTTATTGGGCATACAGTGCTACAATCATATTATGATATACCCTTCGGTACCTGGTGGGCAGCGTTAGCGCAGTTAATAGGAGACCTGCTTTCAAATCCAGCTGCGACTCGGTGCAGCCCATGGCCGGTGTTTGAAACAGGGCAGTTCCCAGGGTCCACCAAGCCTCTAGGAAATGGGTACCAGAGTTGACACTCTGGGGTGAATGGAGGAATATCGCTGTAGCTACGGAGTTGTGTATGAATGGCGACACAGGCGGACGGTTTCTTATCAGTTGTCTATACTGGTCGCAGAGCAGTCATGATTTAAAACTGTGTGGAATGAAGCTTGTTCACACCTCCCGACTTTACCTTTACTCTCACTTGGTAGGTGACGTAGTAAAGGTCATGCCAGCCCCTTTGCGTCCCGTTACATTACTTTGTATTTGCCTGGTACTATTTCAGGCTGGGTCGACCTGGGAAGACACATTCTAACTCAGTTGGTCTCAAACTAAAATCTTTGCGTCGGCAGGGGAGGTCTACCGCGACTCCCCACAGTTTAAGATACATAGCATAAAGGGTGCAGTCCTTTAGTTTTTCTCTTTGCAACGTAAAGTAATGAATACAAAAACACAGGATTGATCTGCGACTTATTGTCATGTGAAATCGTGAACTGTGACTACTCGTACTTATCAGCATGGTGCTTGAGGATGAGGAACATCTACCAATGTTTCATGTTACACATCTCATTATTACATCAGTTTATTATTTACAGTTTACATCTAATGTTTATGTGTCTCACTGTTACATCTGTTTATTGCTTAAAGTTTACATCTAATGTTTAGGCCTTTCATTGTTGCATTTTTAAATAAAGTTAATTTGGTATTTCCATAATTTTGAATTGTTTACCAACCCCAGTTTAATCCCTTTCTTACTGCTTGTAGTCATTAACTCAAGCTTGGATATAGTATGGTTTTTGGTGTTTGTTTTATCTTATTACATATTTTGAAAAGAACAACAATGAAATATAAATGCACTTTTATTATATAACTGTTGGTATGACGCTTTTGTTTTTGTCCCTTTGTACCCCAGTGGAGTACAGGTCTTTAATAAACTCATGCCAGATCATCTTATCCTTTTTAGTGGATACTAAAAAACACAGTAGAAAGACATCAAGAGGCATACGATGGACCATACTTGAAGACCTTGATTCTGCAGATGATATAGCACTCCTATCACATAAACATGATCATATACAAGAGAAAGGTAACAGACTACACAGCACAGCAGAAATGGTGGGACTGAGAATAAATACAAGGAAAAATAAGATCAGGACAAACAGTCCAAACCAACAACCAGTAACCAAATAAATAACAAAACACTCAAAAATGTAGAACAATCTCAAACACTAAACTACTTCACGTCACAAACCAAGAAACTCTGGACAGAATGATAACCAAGAGAAGATGGAAATGGCTTGGCCACGTCATGATAATGAATCCTGATATGCCTGCCAAAAAAAAAACTCACTTGGATACCAGAGGGAAAGAGATCATCTTATCCTTTGCTATTGCATAGTCTTATCCCATATCTTCCCCATTCTCTTTACTTCACTTTCTAAAATCTCCAAACAGTGATACAGCAGGAAGTGACTGGGGGATCTGGCCCCCTAATGATTACCCCTTTCCATCCTTTGTTGTCCAAGTTCTTGTTGTAGGTTATCTTAGTATATTTAACTTGACTACAGATACTTTGAAAGAGGTGAGGGCTTAATGACAGCTTATCACAAACATCAGAAACAGACAGTCATAATATTTTGTGGTCATATTGTGATTACTGGAAAGGTGTGTGGAGAAAGAGACAGAAAGAAAGCTTGAAAGGATTCTTGACAGCTTTTTGTCATGGCATAGAGGGATATCACTGATGCATGTCGTTGAAAGTCGCAGGTTGTGGAGAGGCATGATCGCCAATGCCATGATAAGACACTTGATTCTGATGACAGTTTTGTCTGATTTCACATACAATTTCAGTATATGTTAGTGTCTGTCTTTTGCTCTTGATGTTTTTCGATTTGCCAGCTTGCATGGTTGTTCTAAAATTTCATTATTTCCTTTTTAATATATGTTTGTTCATATTTTGCTATTTTTTTTAAAAGCTTGTAACTTGATGATAGTCAGATAACACTCATATATATAAATATATGTATGTATAATATATATATATATATATATATATATATATATATATATATATATATATATATATATATATATATATATATATATATATATATATATATATATATATATATGTATGTATGTATGTATGTATATATATATATATATATATATATATATATATATATATATATATATATATATATATATATATATATATATATATATATATATATATATATATATATATATATATATATATATATATATATATATATATATATATATGGTGTGGTTTGGTTGGGGGGGCCCTGTCAGTGAAGAAACATGCCTGCATGGTGGTTATGAGTTTGAATCTCAGCGCTGAGAGGCAAGAACCAACCATCTACTTACAAATAAGTCAGATCTGTAAAATGGATGTGGATGCAACACATGTTCTGGAACAAGACCAAAGTTCAGAGGTGGGCGAACAACCAGAACTTTCCGCCAGAGTTTACAGCCAGTGAATGCAAAGAAGAAAAAGAAAGTTAAAAACACTAATACTTACTCAGCTGTGTCATTTTCTCAAGTGTGTATTATACTAGCAAAGCTTGCTGAGAAAAGTGGAGGCGGATATGCTTATGGCAGAGGGGCATGCATGGCTTCCGAAGTCCAGGGTACTAAGCATCCTTTCGATATTTCCTCAAGGCATTAAGGTGTGTTGGGAAATGAGCAGGCAGACAGACTTGCTGGCTCTGCAGCACTCTGCGGTACATTTGTGCATGGGAGGGAGTGAACAGTGTGGAGGCATACTTAGAGTATCACGGTCTGAAAATAGCGGCACAGCAGGAAATAACCAGGGGATCTGGCCGACACGCCACACTAAGAGGAAAGGCAAGACGTACTGGCAGTCAAACTACTTTTGGTACCATCAGAGTTGGAACTCTTTACTGGCTGCTGAAGATGGGGACAGAGTGCTAACGAGAATGTCCCCAGTGCTATGATATAGGTTCTTAAAACTCAAACTCAAGCATGTATGACTTTTCTGGAACACTTGTTGCCATGTCTCTGAATCTCTGATGTTTCTCACTGCAGTCTTGGGCAGGTCTTCTCAAAGGAGGAAGGTCATGATTCCATGAGAGCTGGCTTGCAAGTAATAAGGGATCATAAAACTATTCAGGGATCGTAAAGATGATAAGGGATCCTGAAAATAGTGAGAGGGGTCAGACACACATTTGTATGGTTAAAATAATATTATTTCTGTTAACAGTCTTAGTAGCTGATTATTTTTTCGTGGAGTGAAAGAGTGACAAGCAGTTTCGTCTGATCAAAGTGGGTTTCAGGTTTGAGAAACAGAAGGCTGCAACATTGTTCTTTGTAGGACCATTTCCATGATGCTCTCCCATGTTCATCTTGGACAGATTTTATTGTCTTAGGTCTCCTGGGTATTCTCTTGCTTTCATCTATGACCTCCTCTCTATCCAAACCCAGTATTTAAAAGAGATCACACCATATGGTCTACTTTGTTTAATGATGTTGATAATTATGCAATTGATGGGTTTTCACACACACTCAGAGAATGCTAGAGAGTGGGGTTGGAACTATATGATGCCTGCTTAACTTTTTCTGCCCCAAACAACACTATGTATGATTGGTGAGTGGGTATTATCCGTGTGTACCAGTCAACATGTTATGTATATTTTTATATCATCTATATAGTAAGGGACTCTAAAGAACTGTGACAACATATTTGTTTCCTGCAAGGGTTGTATATTATGCCCCTCTGGAAATAGAATGCCCATGAGTTTAGTACTGCTATTAATAACTCTCTTAGATATTTGATTCTCGACCTTCTATAACTGAAAGAGTTCAAGGTAAATCAGTAGGACCTGTATTTTTAAAAAAACACAAATGGCAGTAATGATTTTGTTCACTTGTGTGTGGTAGTGGTTGCTGGGATGTCTTGTTTCATGACTTATTATTGTCTAGAAATGTAGGTATATTCAAGCACATTCCAGCTTTTGTCATTAATACAATAAAATCTTGTTAACACAAACTTACTGAAGATGAACACTTTGTTAAAATGAACAAAATTTTAGCCCATCAGGCATGTATTATTTAAAAAATTTATTACTCAGAAGTTATTCATAATGCATCTATCAGTCTCTGATTAGCGCAGACTGTTTTCTCACAAACTCGTAAATTTTTCAGTCTCTTGGGATTCATGTTAAGGAGGTTTTACAGTATTTCATTGATGTTTATTATTATCTATTAAAGATGTACAAATAAAATAATTTCTGTCAGGAGTAAGGCCAGAAGTGCAGAATGTTAGATGGGCCTGCGTTCCCAATTCTGAACCAGTTGAAAATAAAACTTTTTTATTGTGGTTGCTACATCCACATAGCACATTCTGACCCATGTTGTTTGTCTGTAGAGAAACAATGCCATAGACGAGGAAGACCTGCCACCGCCACCACCTGAGATCTCCCATGTGCGTCCTGCTCCGTCACCTGTTGGAGAAGACAGACCTGGCAGTAAAGCTTCCTTGGGTCACCCACACGAGAGGAAGTTGGCTCCTGGGGTAAGTTAGTCTGTGGGTGAGAGAGGGATGAAAGACTGAATGTGGAGGCAGGGTTAGGAGGAGGAGGAGAGAAGGAGAGAGAGAAAGCGAAGTTGGTTGGTTGAATTATGTATTACCCTAGACCAGTGACTGCAAGTCGTAATCTTCTTTTATGTACCCTACAGAATAAAGTTTGCAAACTCTGGAAGGTGTATAAATTGAACTAACTTATAACAAGAGCCGTTGAAAAGTGTCGTGTTGTCTGAATTAAATAAAATTGTATCAAGTTTGATCATAATCAAACGCCTTGCAGACTGGTATGAGTGATCAGGCCCCTACACAGCCTTCCGTCTTCTCTTATTGAATTGATTATGTACAGAGAGGGAGAGGAAGGATATATAAATATATAAACACACACACATACACACATAGGTAGGTAGATGGATGGATAGATAGAGAGAGATAGATAGATAAGATTATATATATATATATATATATATATATATATATATATATATATATATATATATATGGTTCGATCCCAACTGCGGGCCATGCGCCTTGCAATGGTTTCGACAGTGGTATCAAGAAAACCGACCATCCAAAGCAATGGCAAACTACTGGATGTAAATTTGCCTAGAAAAACCACAGCGGCTGTTGGGGTTGGTTCTGCAACATCCTGCAAAGGATACGCAACTATATATATATATATATATATGACAATGGTTTCTATTTCTCTCTCTCTCTCTCTCTCTCTCTCTCTCTCTCTATATATATATATATATATATATATATATATATATATATATATATATATATATATATATATATATATATATATATATATATATATATAGAGAGAGAGAGAGAGAGAGAGAGAGAGAGAGAGAGAGAGAGAGAAATAGAAACCATTGTCATTTGCAAAAATCAGACAGAGACATATCACAAGGTCTGCAGTGATGTTAGAATTTCGACTAACAACTAACATATCAAAGGGAGACATAAACAAGCCTAAATATATACTTTAACATTTTCATACTTATTTTATTTCCCAGTCCCGCCTTGCCTGTTGTCACATTTGAGGTTTTTCCTATAACCTACTTTGATATGCGACTTAATTTATGTCCACATCCTACTTTGTTGTCACACTGACACTATTTCCCCAATCCTGAATTGTTGTCACACTAATTTTTCCATCTATCTGTTCTGACACTTAATTTCTTTTTCCGGCCTATTGTCTGCTTTCACTCTCAGTTTCTTTCTTGTTCCTGCAATTTCTGTTGTCGTTATTAATTTCTTTCCCCCATCTTAGTGTTGTCGGTCTCAGTTTCTGTTCTTTTCACATTCTGTCTGATAATTAAAGTAACGTATACTTCGCATACATCTTAGAGCAATGGCCTATCGACTGTTAAGTGCATCGCTTTTGTGTCAGCGACCTCAAGTTGACTCTGCCGTACAGGTGTAAAACGAACACGTTAGTTACTGTCATTCCCTTGTGGGATGCAATGTTTAGTTATTTTGAAGCCCCCACCCTGGCTTTTGCCGGGGGCCCTAAATAAAGCCAGGTCATAAATAAGGCCTAACGGCTGAACGGGGTTTCCGCGACATCTCCACGGGTGATCCTCATCCGCATGGTGGCACTTTGTGTCACCAGGTGTTTACCGTTTGTGTGATATCCTGGTGGGGTACAACTTACTTGCCACCTGTCTGTTGCCTTTGATTCCCGTAGGCTCGATTTATAGAGATGGGCTGGGTCCAAAGACAGTGGTTGGAGTCTCTGAGGCGGTCGAGGCTGACGCATATCAGTTTCTTATTCGTGGCAGGGTACGCGGGCGTGCAGGGAAATGAGCAAGCTGAAAAGCTCGCAGGCAGTGCTACCTTGGCTGGCCATAGACCATGCTGATATACCGAACGCTGTACTAGAAGTGAGACGTTCGCGAGAACAAAGTGATGACTGAATCTGCGAACATGACCAGACTGCAAAAACTGAAAAGGTCACGGGCGGTGAGCATACTTTGGACCTTTCTCCAGGTATGTCGGCGTGGTGGGTAATGAACAGGAGGATAGATTGGCTGGATCCGCACACTGGGTGGTGAATTGATACATGACATGGCAGATATGGGAAAGGCCCTTTGGGAACAAGCAAAGGATTCAGTAGAGAAAGAAGATTATGGCCTGGAGAGAATGCGGCACCTGGGCACTTATGGGCGGAATGGTTTGATGTGTACTGAGGATAATATGTCGACTAAAATAACTAACAAATTAACGCTTGATTATTTAAAATGCTTCTTCGTTTGTCTTCTCCTCATTCTCCTCTTTATTCTCTTCTTCTTCTTCATCATCATCTTCTTCTTCTTCTTCTTCTTCTTCTTCTTCTTCTTCTTCTTCTTCTTCTTCTTCTTCGTCTTCTTCTTCTTCTTCTTCTTCTTCTTCTTCTTCTTCTTCTTCTTCTTCTTCTTCTTCTTCTTCTTCTTCTTCTTCTTCTTCTTCTTCTTCTTCTTCTTCTTCTTCTTCTTCTTCTTCTTCTTCTTCTTCTTCTTCTTCATCATCATCATCATCATCATCATCATCATCATCTTATTCTTCTTCTTCTTCTTCTTCTTTTTCTTCTTCTTCTTCTTCTTCTTCTTCTTCTTCTTCTTCTTCTTCTTCTTCTTCTTCTTCTTCTTCTTCTTCTTCTTCTTCTTCTTTTTCTTCTTCTTCTTCTTCTTCTTCTTCTTCTTCTTCTTCTTCTTCTTCTTCTTCTTGAGGTTTGAGGTTTGAACAACGGATCAACATCATATCACACGGGCAGTAACCCGTAAGTGCTCCCTTCTTCTTGCAGAGCTACCATGGCTGGCGGACGTGCCATGGGCCATGCTGGTAAACTGAATGTTGTACTTGAAGTGAGACAGACGTTCGCACATGTTATGCCCCTAATCTGAGTTTTGTGAGTGTGCTCTGCGAAACTGTTATAACATGTCGGCTGCAAACTGCTCCCCTGACATCGGAAGGCTGCTGTTACTGCCTCCACTTCCTACAGAAGACTACAGACTAGCATACTGATCAACTCTAAAACAGCATGAACTTTAAGAAGACAGGACCGAACGTAAAGTGACATTAGCTAAACATGAAAAGATCACACCACACAGCACATAATGATGACGACAGCCCCACGTAGCTTGTCTCCACGACGTTATTCCGTTGTTATGACGCCGTATGTTTTGTTAGTTTTAGCTACTCTCCCGTTGCCACAGAAACACATCTCTTTTCTGCCGCGTCATCATACCCGCGGCCATCAGCGGTAAACAACATCCTCGCGATCGAAACGTCTGTTCCTCTACACAATCCTTTGTCCGTTTTGTCAGAAACAAAGCGATATCAATGGAAGCATCGGTCATCAGTAAGCAAGTACATGTAAGCGATTTTTGTTGCATTCTGTCCTGTCAGTTTTAGGGTATTGGTACAGGTCACGTCTTCACAGCTAATTCACATATTATCTTCATTGCGCATCAGACAAGTCCATAAGCGGTCGGATCCCATCTTCAGTATTCCCATCCCTCAGCGTATGGCGACTGATAACCCAGTTCTGTGTTGGTTTACTATTCTTCTTTGGCTACCTGTAGTGTTCATGTTTGGCGACACTTCTTTTGACCTAAAGTTTTTGAAGTCTTGAGTGTTGCTCATTCAAGAGCGTCTCCTGAATCATCTTCTCATCCTGCCTCCTTGAGAGCATTGAGAATATCAGCTGGTCCATTGCTTTTCCTGTAGTATCCTGGCCCTACCAGCAAGCCAATCCGCTCCTTTGTTTTCTCTTACCTTAGAGTATCCTGGCGTAAAAATAACAGCGCAAACTACTTGCATCAACTAATTAGGTAGTCTTAGCTTCAGCCTACAGAATGCGCACGCTGTCTCTTATGAAAACATTAGAACATACTGCAGTCAGGTAAAGCCAGTAGCATGCACACGCGTTCAATGCATAAGGAAGACATCTTGTCAGTTTTAATGTTTGGGTACATTTAACTGTTACAGGCTCCTTCATGTCTATTGTTTTCTCCTGTAACGTATTTCTTATTTCATTTTAACCTTTTCTGCTTGTTTTGTCTGTTCTAGTTACAGCTTGTGTTCTATTTAATACTGTTTTTTAACATATTTTGGTCAAAACGTTCGGTTGTATTTGTACCTGTCTTTTCCATTTCCTCCGTTGAGCTTTCTAGTCAAATTTTATGTCGTATTTAGTACTTCTGTTCATCACCCCTGTTTACTTTATGCCTTTTACACTGCCAGCTGTTGGCACCATCGTCATGGGCACTTTTTTTTATAGGCTAGTGTAGAAAGGACGGAGCACGTTTAGGGTTGGTTCCCACTGCAGTGATATCAGTTCTTCATTGAGAGCTTTGTTCCACTATTGTAAGTTTGCAACAACAACAACACACACACGCACACACACATACACACACAAACTAAAACAATAGGAACCGCGGTAATGTAGTGGCTAAACGCCCTCGTGCTGGCCTGAAGATCTAAAATTAAAATCCAAACCGACACATAGTTTCACCTTCAAAAATAGATCTTGGCATCCAGGTCGACCCGGCCTTAAATGAGTACCAGTTATTCTCCTGGGTAGTAAAGGTGGCCGGTATGGTGCTGATCATATCACTCACCGAGTGCCGATTCGTCTATAAAAACTTGCCTGCCAGCATCTGTCTACCAATGTACAACAGGATCCCTTACTTAACTTACATAGGTTTGAAGTTTTGAACAACGGATCAACATCATGGCACATCGGTGTTACCCATAAGTGCTCCGTTCTTCATCTAACTTGTCTCAGTCCTAAGAAACTCAGCACAGTGCGCAGGCCCTGTAGCACCGGCGAGGATGCTGAAATACTTTAGGTAGATTTTTAACTTCTAAATTTTGCCCGGGCAGCGCCGTTAGGCAACTCTTTTCGATTTCCAACTGCCAAGGGATTTTTTTTTTTTTTTTTGCATGCCCAACAATGCACACGCG